GCGGGTCGAAACGGGTCGTTAGCGGGTTACCGGGTTAACCCGGACCCGACCCGAAATTTGATCCGGGTCACTTTTATGAACCCGAACCCGACCCGTTTTTCGAACGTGTCGTGTCCAACCCGAAAATTCCGGGTCGTGTTCGAGTCGGGTTTTCGGGTCGTGTCAATTATTGACACCCCTAGAGTAGAGGCAAGACTATATAAAAAGAATTAAATTAAAAGATAAATATATGAATAAAATCATATGGTCTAATGAAATTTTACTAAAAGAAGGAAATATGATAAGTATATCTCTTTAATTACATCAGGAATAAATAAAAGCTTTTCAAATATAAGAGAAGCTCATATGCCACTGTTGATTGGTCTAATCTGATCTAATTGATCTATAAAATTGACATCTTTTAACTATTTGGGCTTACTTGAGCTTAGTATGAGCAATTTGGGTTGCAATGGCATTTTATTGAAAAAAATAAATTGTATCCGTAAGGTAATGATAAAAGATTTTTTTTTTCGTAGTTCTATTATTTAAGAACTTGGTGATCTCATGCATTAGCATGGTGTAGGTGAGCTGAATTAGGGGAGTCAATTTTTGACATGACCCGAAACCCGACTAAAAAGATCGGGCGGGGTTCGGGATGACCCGGAATCCCAAAAATAACCCGGAAATGGTCTGCCCGTGTCGAGTGCCCGGCATGTCGCATTACTTGGCGTGCGTCGTCCGACAGATCTCGTTGCTAGTAGCTTCGACCTTCGTGTCACTTCGCACCCTGGCGTTGCTTCACGTGCTGCCACTGCCTTCGACGGGTCGGGTCCATGTTGAAATAGCCGACCAGTTTGCAAAAACGGGTCGGGTTCGGGTTGACCCGTTTAGAGTCGAGTCAACTCTAGTTCGACCCGAACCCGACCCGTCGACCCAAATTGACACCCCTAAACCGAATCGGCTTGAACTTGACTCATTAACAAGCTCACGAGTTAAACTTATTGAGTCATGAATTGGAGCTCGACTAGACTGGCCTGTTTTACATTTGTGCTAAAGCCAGCTTGACAGCTTTACATCTTCCGGCTTGAAAATTTAATGTGAAGTGGAGGGAATAAGCATTAGACTAACAACTCTATTTTAATACTATTTAAGCTGAAGTGATAGATCGGGTTAGCTTACCGTACCGGACTTCTCTTCTACTCTATGGACTATGGCCCCCAAATCATAGCGAAAAATGGATTTTTTTCCTCCCTAATGATAGAACAAATGCTTAAACAATCATTAATAAGGAGCTAAGAACCGAAGCAAAGGCGGCACTTTTATTTTCGGCCTCGCAGCTCTCATCAGTCTGATTCTGATCTCTCGCTTCAGCATCTTCAACTCTCTTGCATTTCCAAGGCACTTCTCAATCTAGGTTTTCGTTCAATCCTTTGTATTCCCCTCCTTTTCTTCTTCTTCCTCGCTCTTTGGTGGGAAGTTTTTTTTTTTTTTTCCTTCTTGATCTACAAATTTGTTCCTTTCCACTGGCTCATCAAAATTCCAGTTTGATATATTCCTCTTTGTTGTTTGCTAGATGCAGTTATTGGTTACGTTTCTAATTTATTACTTCTGTCGCAGTTGAATATTGGAAAGTTGACGTGTTACTGAAATTACTTTTTTTTTTCTACTTTTTCCTGGTGGTGGGTTTCTGATTCTTGTTCACCAACTACTGATGTTTTAATCTTCGATCCATGTATGGATGAAACCTCGATTTCTCTTTGCTTCCCACTGAATTCTGGAGCAACGGCCTGCTTTCTACTAGATCAGATCTCTCTAACCTAGCCGGATTCTGTTTTCCATGGGTCTCTGCCATGGCAAACCTATCCAGGAATCAGAAAGTCAAGCCGAGGACCTTCCGGCTCCTAAAACCCCCCCAATCTCAACTAATGAAGAAATTCCTCCCATTCCTCTATCTCCGAAGCCGCTCAAGATACCATTTTACAGCCTTAGTCCCCTAAGGGGCTCCTACAAGAACTCGCCGGCTAATTCGAGCGTGAGCTCGACGCCTTTGCGGTTCTTCAAGCGACCGTTTCCTCCTCCGTCACCGGCAAGGCACATTAAGGCACTACTCGCTCGTCGGCATGGGTCACTGAAGCCAAATGCAGCCTCGATTCCGGAGGGGGATGAGGTTGAATTGGTCCTCGATAAGAATTTTGGATTCTCGAAGCAGTTCTTCTTGAAGTATGAACTTGGAGAAGAGGTGGGAAGGGGGCATTTTGGGTATACTAGTTCGGCCAAGGTGAAGAAAGGCGAGATGAAGGGTGCGGAGGTGGCTGTTAAGGTTATTCCAAAGGCAAAGGTGTGTGTTTTGTTTTTGTTCCTGATCTCCCATCTTATTTTCACTTGCAGATCAGACCTTTTGTATTTTATATTTTTTAAAACATTTGTTTGATTGTTGATCTATTTTCTTCTATAATAGTCTCGCTTTCTTTTGAATTGAGATGTGGAATGCATAAGCTGAGCTTGATGATTTATCCATTCTAAATTGTTTTTTGGAGGAATTGTACATATCAAAGCAGCAAATTTGTGATCTTCGGTTGCTTAATTTTTATGATTACATCACCAGTAGATTTTTTTATCTGTTATTAGGATAATCTTTTCCTCATGACCGATTCTCTTACCTTCTTGTGACAACATAAAAGTTTCTATAACTTGATATTATATTCTTGAAGAACATGCTTGCCATTGAGAAGTTAATGATTGATGCAAAACAAGTTAGTTCATTGAAGTTTCCTGTCTGTGATTTCTAGCTGTTACAGTGGAGGTTGGGTTTCAGTCCAGTGCTCTCTTTTGTTTTTCATATGGTATTCAGTTGTATCTGCTTTGTCTCTATTTTGTGAATCATGCAACGATGAACAGAGTTTTGGAGGATTTTCTTACTCATTATTGCATAGGTGTAGCTCTTTTTATTCTGATAATAATTTTTTAATCTAGGTGGAATGGAGGAATACTTCAATATTAGCCTGTAAACCAGTTCTTCTCCTTTAACAGGGAAAGATTGGCTGCCATTTTTTTCTTGGCTGCAATAGTAAGGATTATGTTATTTTATTGTTTTTACATCTTCTCTGAACATTATAATGAGTACACTACCACAAAGCTATGTATCATAATTCAGGAAGGCATCATGAATTTTTTATTTATATTGGTATCACTAGTAAAGGAGCTTTACATTTAAGGGCTTTCAATTGGATAGGGCAACTCTTCTCTTTGGCTATCTTCTTTGCACTGTCAGTATTTATAAATCTTAAGATGGAGAATTAGGATCTGCCTATAATTATGAAGCACCGACACTTCTCCTCAAAGAGGCGTGCAGTGTCCGACACCGTATCGGACACGACACGCGTTCGACACTCTTCCGACACATGTCAGACACACCGAAAACGTGTCCAATTAAAAAAATATTTAATACAAATTGGACACGCGTATCCGACACCTTAAATATTTTATGAATTTTTTAAAATAGAATTTCATGTATTTAAAATTTTTACTTATTCAAAATATAAAAATTAAACTTCTTATTTCTTTATCCACAACACCAAATCAATCACCCTCTTAATATCAACGATAAACATCATCTTAATATTTATTGCATAACATCAATTCCGAACTCTTGACATCTCCTCTCTCGATGACTGATAAACTGCATGGATGCCCTACTCTGTATATCCTAATATTAATCATTTTAAGCAGAAATTCTAGTTAAATGACTTATTATTTCTAAATTATTTTTAAAATAATACTTATTCAATTTTTATACACTAATTTTAAAATATAAAAATTATAATACCGTGTCCAACCCGTGTCCGTGTCCTATATTTTTAATAATTGACGTATAAAAATTATAATACCGTGTCCAACATGTATTCATGTCCTATATTTTCAATAATTGACGTGTCCGTGTCGTGTCATGTCCATGTTTGTGCATCATAGGGTTTATGTGTGTTCGAGTCGGCTACACATCACTTTTGCCAACTTCACATATGCCTTTATATAAAAAGTGAACGGATTTACATACATACTATAGAATTTTGATGTATTTATATATCCAACACATAAATCTTTATATTTATTTATGTAACATCTAAATTTTCATATCACATAAAAAATATCACTAATATTCATTTTTCTAAAGACAAAATGCACTTTTTATGCATATATTTTGATGTGATTGAGAAACTAAAATATTATATAAGCAAGTGTAAAAGTTTTGATGTTAGATATACAAATACATAAGAATTTTATAGTGTCAATAGTGCACTATTTTTGACACATGATTCATTTATGTTTTGTTTATTTCTTTGTGTTAAAGATAATGTTAATATTTTCATTTTGTGATAAATAGTCATTACTTCTATGAACTTCCATATTTTTAATGGGCACACAAAATTCTGATGGGCATTTTTCTTTGTTGGATTTTTTTTTTTCATTTTTCTTTTTTAGTCCGTTTTTTTCAATGGAAGGTATTGGTGAAATTTATTTCATTCAGGATATCATTTTTTCCCTTATTATTCACTGGCAGATGACAACGGCTATTTCTATTGAAGATGTGAGAAGAGAAGTTAGAATCTTGAGCTCTTTGACCAGTCACAAGAATCTAGTACAATTCTATGATGCCCATGAGGATGACGATAATGTTTACATAGTGATGGAGTATGTTGCAACTCCTTCCCTATTTATTTATATGTCACACACACACACACACAAATATATACATATATATATTCAAGCAATACTTACTAAGGCCTTCTAGTGAATCCATATTTTAAGAACATTTTTAAATGTATGCCATGCTTTTTGCTTTTGTTACTTGCATCAAAGAGTTAGTTTCACTAACGGCATCAATTTTTTGTAGTATCTTGCATAACAAATCACTGGAACTTCTAGCTTTTTAAATCTTTTGTCTGATATTCATTTATTGTGCATCCATTTTGTGGAATGAGAAATGAACTTAAGATAACGGTAACTTAGTAAAATCCTCACTTCCTACTTTAATATAACGACTTACTGATTTTATAGCTATGAAGCATGATTAATTCTGATGCTTTTTTCTGATAGTTTATAAGATAGCATGCATTTCTTGCTTGCGACATTGGATGGAGCATTTGCTTGACTTAGTTTCTGATTTCTTGATCTTATTTAAGAAGATTGCATAACTTGAATTTGGCCCCTAGGTTCTCTTGACTTTTTAATCTTATAGTAACACTTGGTAACTTAGTAAAATCCTTACTTCCTACTTTAATATAACGACTTACTGATTTTATAGCTATGAAGCATGATTAATTCTGATGCTTTTTTCAGATAGTTTATAAGATAGCACGCATTTCTTGCTTGCGACATTGGATGGAGCATTTGCTTGACTTAGTTTCTTATTTCTTGATCGTATTTAAGAAGATTGCATAACTTGAATTTGGCCCTAGGTTCTCTTGACTTTTTAATCTTATAGTAACACTTTTGTTATGCCTCAGGTTGTGCAAAGGTGGTGAATTGTTAGACAAAATACTTTCGAGGTATGCTTTAACATGGAAAAATCTACTTTTTCAACTCAAATTTGATACTAATCATCGCCACTTTGTTGTTCTATGGTTCCCATATTAATGTGAGTTAGAGTTAAAGAATGACCTTTGGCTTTCTAATTATATAGAGGCGGCAAATACTCGGAACAAGATGCGAAGGTTGTCTTGATCCAGATTTTAAGTGTTGCTGCTTTTTGTCATCTCCAAGGTGTCGTCCATCGAGATCTCAAGCCCGAGGTACTGGCACCCACCGATTTTCCATCCAATCACCAAAATATATAATCTTTAATCTAATTGTTACCCCTTTTTCATGTTTAGAATTTTCTTTTTGCTTCCAAGGATGAGAATGCAACCTTGAAGGTCATAGATTTTGGTTTGTCAGACTTTGTTAAGCCAGGTTAGAACAGTGTAAAAGAAATTTTATTTTGCACTTATCTTGCAGACTAATTTGTCTTCTGATGGAATCTAACTTAGTGGAATCATTGACAACACTCAGATGAAAGGCTGAATGATATTGTGGGAAGTGCGTATTATGTTGCCCCTGAGGTTCTTCATAGATCTTATGGTACAGAGGCTGATATGTGGAGTATTGGTGTTATTGCATATATTCTTCTATGTGGAAGCCGTCCATTCTGGTCTCGGACTGAATCTGGCATATTTCGAGCTGTATTGAAGTCAGAGCCTAGTTTTGATGAAGCTCCTTGGCCTTCTTTGTCTGATGATGCTAAGGATTTTGTGAAGAGATTGTTGAATAAGAATTATTGCAGGCGAATGACCGCTGTACAGGCTCTTAGTAAGTTCCTGATTTTTTCATCAAATGTTTAAAATATTGCTCTTGAACATTTCATTAACAAAAGTCAAATTATGGAATCAGGTCATCCATGGATTCGAGAATTTGAAGAAGTCAAAATTACCTTGGATATTTTTGTTTACAAGCTTGTGAAAGCTTATGTAGGTTCATCTTCACTAAGGAAATCTGCATTGAGGGTAAATTTATTGTCTTGTTCATTTTTGTGTTTTAATTAGTAAAGAAGTCATGTCCCTCTTCATAAAGAAAATTTAGAGCAACCAAAAATATGATAAGAACTCTAAACTTTTTTTCTTTACAATAGCTTCTAAAACTTCTTCAATGGAACTTAAATCACTAGATTATTCCTTTATTTTCTTGATTTCATGCAAAATATGATCATTAAAACCGTTAAAAGCTTGCAAACATCTATGGTTTATATTCTTCAAATTTGGCAGGCTTTAGCCAAGACCTTGACGGTATCCCAACTCTCGTATCTGCGAGAACAGTTTGCTTTACTAGGACCTAACAAAAACGGCTATATCTCATTGCAAAACTTTGAGACCGTTAGTTACTTCTTCTTTCTTTTACCTCTTTTTCTTTCAAGTATCTTATTTTACACTTCATGTTGAATTCCTAATTGGAACTTGATTCACAGGCCTTATTGAAGAACTCAACTGAAGCTATGAAGGATTCAAGAGTTCTTGACTTTGTAAAAATGGTATTCCCCTTGACATTTTGCATCAAAATATTATAAGAGATTTACATGTATAACACATAAATCTTTATATTTAATTATATAGTATTTCATGTGAAGAATGTGAAGAATTGATTGAGTATTTCATTCTAAGATTTGTGTAATATTTGTACAATCTTTTGATAGCTTATAATAGGAAATATAGAAAATCAAAAAAGAATAATTATAATAGTCCACGAATTGATGAATAGATATCATAATAATTACAGAATACTTATAATAGTTAACAAATGGATTAGGTGGCAGTACCGAAGTACTAATTCCATGGATTACTTTAGTGGTATGAAGCGACTAAATGAAGGTGTGGGACGCCCTGAGAGAGTGAAGACGTACCCATTCTAAGACCTCTTCTTGGTAAGGCTCATTGGTAAGCAGTGACTATAAGCTAAAAGTGTCCACTTGGTTTAGTTAAATCTAAGTCTATGTTGCACCGATACACCTATTTATGAAGGCATGTTGTATCAGATACATGTCGGATACGGATATACATCTGATACAACACCGATACTTGTCAAATATGACAAAGCCGTATCCAATTAAAATAATATTTAATTTTAAAAGGACACGTGTATCAGATACATGTCTCGTTAAAAAACGAAAAAATTTCAAAAAATGAGGCGTATTTCGTATTTACTTCCGCAATTGCGAGTGAGGGTTCTCTCATTTCCGAACCCGCGAGACGAGCTGTTTGGTCTTCTTCGTTTCTACGACCGCGAGTGTGCATTTTGCTTTTATTTTTTTTTTTTGTCATTTCAAATATTCTGTTTTGATTGCTTTCTTAATTTTTATGTGATTTATAAATTATAATGTTGTGTTCGCACCATACCCGTATTTTATATTTTTAAGAATTGACGTGTTCCGTATCCGTATCGTGTCGTATCCATGTCGCCGTATCCGTATCGGTGTAGTATAGATCTAAGTCAATATCAAGATGCTATAAGATAGATAAGATAGATTGCATCTAATACATGGTTCAGTTGTGGCTAGAACAAGACTGAGGCATTCGGCTTGAACACTTTCCTTAAAAATTTCTAGTGTGAAAAAAAGATTCGCAGGGTGAGCTTGAATTAATGGAGCGGCATTAGAGTCAGAATTGGTGAAATTATTTTTTCCGCGCTTTATTCTCTAAATCACTTCAAAAACATCCTGATTATAGAATATGAAAAAAGTAGATTATCACGAGTAGTTTTTTCTGATGTGATCTAAAGTTTAAGCTTTTATAAAATAAATATGAAGATAAGATGTTAGATATAGAAATATATACGAATTAAGTGATTTATGCCCAAATTTGATTTCTTAAATTCTTGGTTTCCTTATCTGTTTATCTTCCTGGATGCAGTTGAGCTCTCTTCAGTACAGGAAGTTAGACTTTGAGGAATTTGCTGCTGCCACATTAAGTGTTCATCAGCTAGAAGCATTAGATACCTGGGAGCAGCAAGCTCTAAGAGGATTTGAGCTATTTGAAAAGGATGGAAATAAGCCTATCATGATAGAGGAACTTGCATCAGTATTCTTCCTTACTATAATCTTCCTATTATCATCCTTCAGTTCATATAGAGTATTTTTTTATTCTGTCTATAACTATCAGAACTAGAAAAATGCTTATAACCTTTAGTGATTTCCTTCATTCCTGTTACCAGGAGCTTGGCCTTGCTCCATCAGTTCCTGTTCATGTTGTTCTCCAAGATTGGATCCGGCATTCTGATGGAAAGCTTAGCTTCTTGGGATTTGTTAAGCTTCTACACGGGGCGTCGACGCGTTCGATAGCAAAGATTAGTGATTGAAATAGCTAGAAAGTATTCACTCTTTAGTTGTTGAGGAGCAAGAAATAGCAGAGATATGTAGTGTTAAACATTCATATCTTAACTTTTTTGTTCTGCTCTTCAGACTTCACAGAAATGTACAGTTGAGAGGGTAAGTGAAATTGATGCCTTTGAATTTGCGTTTATAAGCCATGCAACTTCTATTTTTTTGTTTTTTAAATTTTTTAGTTTTCTTTTTACACTTTTATTTTATGTTTTAAAGTAAATCAAGTTATTTTTAAAAACATTTAAAAATAATTTTTTTTAGGTTTTTTAAAATTTTAAAAATAATTGTCAATGTCAGCCTCCCCCCTCGCCTACTATCTCCATCAGTCACCACCTCGTTAGTTGCCTCTACTACGAAAAATTATTATGTCCGGATTTCAGGCCCCAATGAAAATGCGCTATGTCGGGTACCAGGCATATACCGAGCAGTACTCAGTACTCGATACAGCTTAGTACCTGAGCGTAAGCCGGACTGTTCTCCCGTCCTGTGTCCGCACAAAATAATCTCTCCTCTACTACACCATAGTACCGTAGACTTAACATATAAGCAAAATTGATATCAAATTGTATGCTGATTGAAAAACTATAATCACATAACTTCGAAATTAGGTTTTGTTTGGGATAATTTTCTTATTGTTTTTTAAAGCGGGTTTTTAGTACAACAATTTTTTTTAGTTTAAAAAAATTTAATATTAAAAAGTTGTTTTAAAAAAATAGTAAAAAAAAGTTGTTACAAATGAAGCTTAGGCCTTTTCGAAGGATAGTGAAATTCCCAACAATTAAGGAAATTAGGTGGCCATTATGGAGCAATTATTAAGCTAAATATGCAAGTATCAAATCCCCTACTACTTGCATAAGGTAATGAAGGTTAAATATGAGTTAGAGCATCTCAAGCAACTATGCCACAATATTTGAAGAAATTATTAAATGTGGAGTTTATGCACCTAATAAATCAAAGGTGGATATAAATTTTTAGATTAATGTTCTGCATATAATAAATTCGTACTTTAATAATTTCTAGAGCATTTGTGGAATGGCTTCAGAGGAATTTTTACTGTCTTCCAATAATAAAGTTTTGTTTATGAATCCTTAGATCTTTTATTTTCAAGAATCTCATGCACTATTTGTAATCCATGTCTCCCTCTTGTTGTGCTGAGGATGAAAGGAAAAAACAAAGTTCAAGGGTATTCTGATAATAATTAGTCAGAATAGGCATCATAGTTTTTAGTGGTAGAAACTATGTTTATAAAAGAATAGAGGTGTGACCAAACCATCTAAGATGACTCTTTCTAATCTTATTTTTCA